AAAAGGATAAGGAAAAAACTACCTTTATTACTAATTTTGGGTTATATGAATTCAATGTAATGCCTTTTGGGTTATACAATACTCTAAAAACCTTTCAAAGACTTATTTATTATGTTCTACAACCATATACAGCTAAATTTATTTCAGTATATTTAGACGATATCATAATTTACTCAAAGTTTTTTGAACAACACTTCGATCATATTAAACAAGTTTTTCAAGTATTAAGAGAAGCTAATTTAAAGATTAAGTTGAAGAAATGTAGTTTTTGCATGCCCAACTTAACATTCCTAGAACACATATTTGGAAGAGATGGTATTCAACCAGATCCAGCTAAAATTGAAAAAAGTAAAAGATTTACCAATACCAAAAGATGTATCTCAAGTTCGATTAGCTCTAGGATTATTTTCGTATTATAGAAAATTTATTAAGGATTTCTCGCAAATTGCAAAACCTATTAATACATTACTAAAGAAATATCAAACATTTAAATAGACTGAAAAGCAACAAAATGCATTTAATCGCCTAAAGAATTGTTTGATTAATGCATCAATTCTACAATATTCAAATTTTGATGAAACTTTCTATTTATATACTGATGCATCAGGAATAGGTTTGGAAGCTGTACTAGCACAAAAAGATAAAGAGATAAGAGAACACCCCATCGCTTATGCAAGTAGAAGTCTAACTCCAGCAGAAAAGAACTATTTAGTTATAGATCAAGAATGTTTAGCAATAGTATGGGCTATTCAACATTTTCACCATTACCTATGCACTGCAAAATTTGAATTGATCACAGACCATTTAGTGTTAAAATAGTTACAAATATCTAAAATACCAAAAGGACGACATGCTAGATAAATGATAGAATTACAATCCTATAATTACACTATTCAGCATAGACCAGGAAAGTACAATGCAAATGCTGATGCCCTGTCAAGAATTAATGATGAACAATCTGAAAAAGAAGATATTCGTGAAATTTTTATAGTATCTATTTATGATGAAGAACCTGTAATTGAATAGTATTCTTCAATAAAAGAAAGTTCAACGCCTGATACAGAAGAATTATAGTTTGAGGAACAGTTATACTAACAATTTGCAAATGAACTATTAATTGCAGCTGTTGAATACCAATCGACTAAGAATGAACTAGAAGATATCTATCATGAATATATTAAAGTTAAACAAGTTATTGCTGGACAACCTATTATAAAAGGAGAATCTCAATATACTTTCAATTACGATACTGAAAACTATCATATTCATATTTACTACAAAGCTTATAAAAAGAATCTACCTTATAGGACAGTTATCCATAATTGTATTGTAAAATATAGATTAGAACAAATACAACCTGATATGAATCCTAATTATCTTTGCAATAGCATGTTTTGGGAAGAACCACTAGCAGTACAACAGCAAAATAATGATATTTTACTAGCAAATTTATTTGAAGAACTTCTTGATAAAGTTCCATTATATTAAAACTAAATTTTATTAAGATAATAATTAGAGTGAAAGCGTAAGTGTCTACAGCGTGATAGACAGCTCTATAATAGAATAAATAACATATATTATACCCATATTCTTAACTATTTAAAGATAGAATTATTATCACCAAATTTAACAACAATAGAAAAACAAACGATTAAACGACAATTGAAGAATTATATTATTAAATTTGATATTTTATATAAAGTAAAAACTGTTACTCCTGAACAGTTATTAAGAGTAATAAAAATTAATGAATTAGATGCTTTATTATATATAGCACATAATGATCCTTTAGAAAGACATTTATCAACAGATAGTATATTTGATAAGATTAGAATGCAATATTATTAGCCTCAAATGTATGAAAGTATATGAGAATATGTACAAAAATGTGATTCTTGTCAAAGAAGAGGAAAATACAAACGAACTGAACCTTTACACCCAATAGATGCAGAGAACCCATTTTATAGGATAGGAATTGATATTGTGGAACCTTTACTTATCACAGAAAGAAGAAATAGATATATTATAACAGCAATGGATTATATGATGAAATTGTCTGAGGCTAGAACCTTATCCGAAGCTACTGCAGAATAAGTTGCTAATTTTATTTATAAAGATATCATATGTCGATATGGATACCCTCAAAAGATTTTATCCAATAGAGGAACTTATTTTAATAATCATTTGATCACAAGATTGATGGAAAAATTCCAGATCAAACATAATTTTTCAACCCCTTATCATCCCCAAACAAATGGCCTTGTAGAAAGATTTAATAGAACTTTAAGTGAATCTTTGGTAAAGTTGATAATACATAATAAGGAGTAGGATCTCTATATTGCACCAGTATTATTTGCTTATTGCACAAGTCGACATTCAACTACAAAAATAGCACCTTTTTATTTATTTTATGAAAGATCAGCAAAGCTATCTACTGACGATCCTTTGAATGAACAACCACATGGTAATGTAAATATCAGAATTAAGGAATTGATAGATGATCTACCAGTCATAAGGTCTAAGATTAAATTGCAGATCACAAATAGTCAACAAAAGCAGAAAATCAACATGATAAGAAAATCAAGATAAGATCTTAATTCCAAATAGGAGATAAAGTCCTATATTATAATACAGCAAATGAAACAAAGAGATCTGAAAAATTAGATTCAAAGTGGAAAGGACCTTATTACATTTATGAGATCTTGATAAATGGATCTTATAAATTACGCGAGATAAAAGGATGAGTTTTGCGTGTATCAGTAAATGTACAGTTATTAAAAGCTTATCATGAAGATTAAATTAGTTTTTTTTATTTGTTTATTTTATTTTATTTTTATATATATACCCTTTCGATACATGGAAATGTAAAGTAGAATTTTTATAATGTTTGAAATTATTAATTCTCGATGACTACAACCTTTATGTGAAGATTTAGGATGAGATTCTTCTCTTAAAATTCCTCTACGAGCACCCTTTAACAATGATATGACTTTACAACAAAAAGTCTAAAATACATATCAGACATTATTAAGAGTATATAGAATAAGAGATTACGTACTTATCCTTGTAAATGCTTACTATCTAGAATAACTCTTGGAAACTGAATCAACTAATCCTTCTGAAAGAATATGTTACAAAATATAGTGATTATCTATTATCGACTAGGAGTTATCAGGATTTATTATTTATTTGAGTTTTTGAGAGTAGAACAAATCCAACGTACTTGAATTATTAACTTTGCAACTATATGACAACTCAAAGCTTGTGAATTCAGAGCTTTAGTTAATTATGCTCACCAACTTTCTATCAGAAATAAGGAAGAAACTGATGAATTTCTCTTAGAATTCAAAAATTAGAAGGGAAGAATTATTAGCTGAAGTTTATATTGTGCCTTAAAAATGATCTTCAACTGCGTTGAATATCATACATGTTAAATATGTAATACATGTATCGTTTAGTCAACTTTATATTACATGTATTGAATAGTTTACCTTTTAATATAAATATTATATAGTCTACTTTTCATTACTTATATTATTTTTGTTAAATGTATTTATTGAAAGGCATAGTATAATATTAGTTAACAATTTTATATAAATAGACCTGTAAGTTGACCTTAAGTCAATAGAGTTCGATCAGATAGTTTTTGAATAAGTCTTAGGATTAGACTTATAACTCTACAGCTTAATAAAGTTACTATTTTACACTTTCAACCTTCTTCTTGTCTTCATCATAGGATTGATCGTGATAACCTACTACACAAGTGAATCATGATAATAAATTATTTTGTTTGTTAATTGTTAATTCTCTTAGAAAAGGCCTTTGAGATAGTTGTGTTATTAAGTTTCTTAGTTTTGTTAGCTTGGTTTGAGATGATTCCAGGTCTAACATTAGCAAAGGTTTATTTTTAACTGGTTATAATAGATGAATTTAACTCCGGCTGAAATTCATATTTGGCCGGAATTAAGATTTTATAATTGCAAAAATGTTGTCTAACTCCGGTTAAATTTATAGTATTGGCCTAAGTTAATTTTAACCAGTTATTAACCAGTTAATAATTTTTGATCAATTCTAACCTCTAAAGAGAGTGACTCTTTGAAATTAAAATCTATAATGCTTTCCCCAATGGTATGTAGTAATAAAGCTCAATTTTTTTTTACATTATGACTGAGTATCTTTCTGTTACTATAATAGCCCTATGAAAAATTTTTTGGGAAAGCATTCTGGTTTTTGTCTGGTTTCTGTTTTCCGAAAATATTCCGATTTTATTATTCTGATTCTGATCCGAAAAGTGATCATTTTTCGGAATGATACTTGCATGAAGTTATCTGAAAGTGCTCAAGTAAATTTTACGAATATAAACAGAATATTATTGGATAGTTTACAATAGATATTATCTGGAAGTGCACAGTAAATTTTATGAATGTAAACGGAGTATTATCAGATAGTTTACAATAGATATTATCTAGAAGTGCACAGTAAATTTTATGAATGAAAACAGAGTATTATCAGATAGTTTACAATAGATATTATTCAGAAATGCCCAAATTAGATTCAGTAAATTTTATGAATGTAAACGGGATATTATCAAGTACTTTAATTATATTTTTGGAATATTATCTAAAAGAGCTCGTAAATGTAGTACAGTATTAATTGTGATTTATCATTTAAGTAAGTTTTCATATGCACATTATTTGTGACACATGGTGCAGTGAATTTACTGTGTGCTGTTTATGTGATACAATGGCATAAGTCTTCTATACTAATTTCGAATAATAGGTTTTGCACGGTAACCTATTTTTTAGCTTTCTTGCGGGTGTTGCGAGTAGTAATTTAATTATTTGTTATTTTAGTTACTTTTTTGGAATTTGCTCTTATTGTTTTAGTTGTCTTTTTTTGGTTTCCTATATTTATTGAATAAATAAAGTATTATATATGAGTTTCATAAATATTAACAAATGCCAATCATTAAATTTACCAGAATTTTTCACGTCTTCTTCTTATAATTGTGAAGCATTAAGAGCCACGTTTAAATTAGTAGTTTCAGACTCTTGACTTTCCATAGCTAAAGCTAATTGTAAATTAGCGTCAATAGTCAACAGTTCGTTGATAATTAGCGCAGGTAGAAGATCAGCATTGGTACTTGATGTTGAGTTGAAAATTAGCATAGGTGGAAGATCAGCATCAGTACTTGGCGCAGGTGGAATTGTCTTCATTTTCTTGAATTTCAGATTAGGTGGTATAATGTTTTTGCATTTTGAAGGCGGATCAATACCTTTTATTTGGGCTTCTTTAATTTTTTTCTTTCGTTCAGTCTCAGCTAATATTTGTTAAAAATATTAATAATAAAAATAATATAGTATATATCCATCTAATATTAAATTAAAAGTAATACATACCCCAATTTCCAATAATATCCTCAGTTATTTTTTGCAAAACAAAGTCTCTAACTGAAACAGGAAAGGTTGGAAAGTCACTTTTAAACTAAAAGTAATTAAAAGTTAATTAGTAAGTTATACAATTTGTACTTACACTGTTAATAATATTTCAAATTTTACCTGGTATCTGTTCTGATGCATATTTTCCTTTTTCATAAGTAGCATTCAATTTATCGCGAAGATTTCTCTACAAATTGCAAATTATTAGAATATACAACCTAAATTATAAAAATATAGAGATTTACCTGATAAGTCCAATATGTATCATATGGTATCTGAAGAAAATCTTTTCAGTCTTCTTTTGGTTGTTTCTTTTTTTTCTACTGGTTCCATTCTTCTTTCGTAATAGAGTTTTGTATTGAATCACGTGAAAACTAATGATATTAAATATTATCACAAATGTTACCATAATTTTAATATTTAGTATATTTTTACTGATGTATTAATGACGCCTATAAGAGCATTTGATGGCATAGAACTAATAGAAGTAGCAGAATTAGTAGATTGAGTTGGCGCAGAAGATGTTTGTTGATTTTGCTTAGTAATCATTGTAGCAGCTTGTTGCAGAGCTGTTGGGTTCGCTAATAGCTGGAGTAACAAACTTATATTTGAAGTAGACTCTAAGTTTGCTGGGGTATCTGTATTGCTATTATCTTTATCCAAATTATCCATATTTTTTTTTTGAGAATAAAATATTAAAGAGAAGATAAAGAAATCTTCTAAAGAAAATTTTTTAATGATCGTATTTAT